GAATCAGGAGAAGAGGAGGAAGAGAGGGAACCTAAAACCATTGAGCCGTCTCAGTGCAGCGGCCAGGTAGCACTGTTAGCCTTATCCATCAGGTGAATTTGACTTGCAAGATGTGCACAAAGGCTGTGCTTTACCATCTGGAGCAATCTTCTGATCTTTATCTATAATTCTTATCTATCCAGAAAGATCCTCCTTGAAATTAATCTGCAATGTTCTTTTCAACAGCCTTTGTTGATTAATGTAATCTCCCTCCAATGGAAACTTCACACACTCTCCCTACCTACCTGTTGGGCTTGCTTTGTTGTCTCTGTCGTAAGCCATTTCCCTGTTCACTCGGTAGCATCTCAAATGCATCATGTCCCAGGTCACAGTCAGTTCTCCCCAGCTGGTTCCCCTCGGTCAGTGTGGGCAGGTTCAACATTGGCTCCTGCCCATGTCATTTCCAAAGGGAAGCACCTGCCGCTGCATCCCTGGTGACCACAGTCACCTTCTAGCCATATATGATTATGCCCAGGATGGGTAGCTGCCACGTGGATCTATCAGAAACTCCTGGAAGGTGGATGTGGAGATCAGGCTTGACAATAAAGAGCACTTAAACGATAAACAGCATGGAGAGTTGAGCAAGCCTGAGACGACTATATTAGCACAACTGTGTGGAAACCTCAGGACTAAAGAAGAGCAAAAGAGGCATCAGAGTGGCCCCAGTCCTTGACATGTTGTTGTTGTGCCTCCCCAGAAGTCATGCGCAAATAAAAATAAATAAATCTTAAAAAGAAATAGTGGTACCTTCAACTATGACCCATGGCAAAAAGAGACTTCTGCCCCATTCTGTTTCTTTTTATGAGGTAGAGGGTGGTACCACAATTTGATAAACAAATGGGATGGGGTCTTAGCATGTACTCTGATCTCAGATGAGACAGATATGTCCTGGGAAGATAGTGCACATGGACCGGCTGGCTTCAATAGCAAATATTTACTTCTCATGGTTTTGGAAGCTAGAAAGTTCAAGATCCAGCCACTGGCAGGACCAGGGTCTGGTAAGAGTTTCTGCTTTGTGGGCTAGCTTCTCCTTGTAGGCATTGCCTGGTGTAATTGAGTAGCTGGCTAAGTCTAGGTGAGCTGGTATCTGGCAGCCCTGCAATGGAATAGTTATCTCTTTGTTTGCCATCTTGATATGCCCATCTTCCCAGGACATACCTGTCTCATCTGAGATCAGGGTACATGCTAAGACTGCATCCCATTTGTTTATCACATGCACATCATTTATTATCATGTATTAATGGTCTAAATGGAGAGAGTTCTGTAGCAGGAGATGTCTGGACTAGAAGATTTTATGTCTGTGCAAAGAAGAATTGCAACACGAAACAGAGGGAGGAGGTGGGTGAGATACGGCATCTGTCCAGGTCCACTCTCCAGATGAACTTGAAAGACAGTGCTCAGGCATTCAGAGTGGGAAAAAGCAAAGTTACAAACTTTAATAAAGAGAATACACAGACCAAGTGGGCAATTCAGCAAAGACCCAAGGGCTGGGAAAAAAAATACGAGCTGAATGCATGGTTTGTATTGAGGGCTTATAAGGGAATGTCAGGTTCAGGTGTTCCCATGATTCCTCCTTCTTCCCACTGTCTTCTAGCCAAAATATTTGCTGATTGTGAATAGGGGCAATCCCTCCCAGTGCTGTTTTTGGGGATTTTTTTTAATGGTTCTTTTTGTTGTTTTTGTTTAGATTTTATTTAGTTAGAGACAGAGATTTTCCATCCACTGGCTCATAAGCTGGATGGGAAGTGAGCGGCTGGGATGCCAACCAACACACATATAAAATTTAGGCATGTTAGGTGGTGGCTTTATGCACTACACCATAGCATGTGCCCCCTCCCAAAGTTTTATTACCCGACATTATCAGACTAGGTAACACGCTTGGCACTGGACAAAGAGGATTTTCCTGGTGTGTTTTCCTTGTTGAAGAGAGGCTGGGACCACCTATTAAGTTAATGCAAGTGTGGACAAGACTTTCTAGTGTGGATTGCTGGGCTGTTTCCAAGGCGTGCCTCCAGGCTGTCAGAGGCTGCTTCAGAATTGCCTTCTCGGGTGCTTCTCCGGCCCCCTTTACACACACACAGACTCACTGCTGCCTTCTGATCACTTCGTAAGCCAGCTACCTGGCTTTACTTGCAACAAAAATCTGCCTGACTGTTTTTCAGGGCTCGAAACAATAGTGATCCTGTTTTTGTCAAAGCAGTGATTTATACGCATTAGTCACAGAGATCCCTTCCCACTGCCCTCCTCCCCACCCCACGCCCATGGCTTTAAAGAAGGAATTTCATTTCTAAATCTCATATCAGTCCAATCACATGGTGTAGGCCAGGATGGTTAGTGGCTGTGTGGGCTTCACCAGGGATAGACTCGGGGGGTTAGAGGGCCAGGGAGGGCACCCAAGGGCTGCCCTCATTGATCCCCCTGGACAAGCTAAGCAAGGACACTGTGAAGCTCAGTGAAGACGGCATGGGCGGACAACAGTGGACAGAAGCTGGTGGTTCACCGTTACCGATCTTGCTGATCGTGATCAATAGCTTGGCTTGTTAGGCGTTTTAATCAAGTAAAGCTGTTTTGAAGATAATGTACTAAAAGTGGGCATTTTATGATGTGCTTACCAAATAACAGACATGGATGAAAACATCCTTGGACACAACATTCAGAGCAGAAGCTGTTGGAGAGGAAAGCTGGGAGTCCCCCGTGGAACAGGGGTGAGTGACCCCGTGGAGTCCCCAGGTCAGCGTCTGGATGCCACGGGGCCCTGTTTGACAACCGCGCCAGGGCAGCTTTCTCTTACCTCTGGTTTTAGGTTTGCCAGCTATGATACCACTGCATCCGAACATTTCAGAGAGGTAGTTCTCCAGCTGGTGCAACAGAGATGTTTTGAAAACCATTTTTTCTGGTGCATGGAGTTTGGACAAGTGTTACATTTCCTGGGAGATGAAGAACTAACTGCTTTGTTTCACCTCCCATGAAACTGTTGGTTTTGGGATATATATATATATAAAGACAGATTCACAGAGAGAAAAGGAATGGCAGAGAGAAATCTTCCGTCTGCTGGTTCACTCAAGTTCTGCTCTACTTCCAAACCAGCTCCTTATTATTGCACCTGGGGAGGCAGCAAATGAAGACCCAAGTACTTCTAGTCTCTACAACTCAAATGGGAGGTCAAGTTGGAGTTCCTGGCCTCAGCACCGCCTGCCTCTGGCTGTGATGGGCATTTGGGGAGTGGACCAGCAGGTGGAAGATCTTCTTCACTCTCTATCACCCTGCCTTTCTTTCTTTTTTTTTTTAAGATTTATTTTATTTTTTATTGGAAAGGCAGATATACAGAGAGGAGAGACAGAGAGGAAGATCTTCTGGTCTTCCTTCTGATTCACTCCCCAAGTGAGCACAACGGCCGATGCTATGCCCATTGAAGTCAGGAGCCTCTTCCGGGTCTCCCGCGTGGGTGCAGGGTCCCAAAGCTTTTGGGTCGTCCTTGACTGCTTTCCAGGGCCATAGGCAGGGAGCTGGATGGGAAACGGGGCTGCCAGGATTAGAACCCGTGCCCATATGGGATCCTGGCACGTGCATATGGGATCCCGGGCATGCAAGGCGAGGACCTTAACCACTGCACCATCGCGCCAGGCCCATCACCCTGCCTTCCAAATATACAATCTTAATTTTCCCTTTTTTCAAAACCCACATGTGACTTGACTCCTCAGATGTAAGAGGCCAGAGTCTGGAGGCCTAAAGACCAGACCTGAGTTGGTTCGAAGATGGGAGCACCTTCCAGCTCAAAAGTGGAGCATCTGGACCTTAAAACAGCACCCCTATGGGATGCCAGCGCTACAGATGGTGGCTTTGCTTACTATGCCACAGTTCCAGCCCCAGTAACAGCACCTTTCAACGAATCAACGGAGAGCAAGGAAATAGCTACTGCACCATGCCAAGGAGTGAACCTTCCTTCTTTGGGTCCCTGGAGGAAGGGCCATTCATGAGCCCGATGTCTGCCTCTCCCTGGGTGTGAGTAACATCCCACAGGGAGAGCAGTGGGCCTGCAGTGCTCCGCTGTCATGAGCGGTCAGCTACCTACTACCCGGTATTCTTCCATTCTCAGTGCGGTGGTCTAGATCTCCCGCAGGATTGAGAACCACGGATGAATCTTAAAAAAACAAACAAATGGGCCCAGCGGCGTGGCCTAGCAGCTTAAGTCCTCGCCTTGAACGCACCAGGATCCCATATGGACGCCGGTTCTAATCCCGGCAGCTCCACTTCCCATCCAGCTCCCTGCTTGTGGCCTGGGAAAGCAGTCCAGGACGGCCCAAAGCTTTGGGACCCTGCACCCACGTGGGAGACCTGGAGGAGGTTCTTGGCTCCTGGCTTTGGATCGGCATAGCATCGGCCATTGTGGCTCACTTGGGGAGTGAATCATCGGATGGAAGATCTTCCTCTCTGTCTCTCCTCCTCTCTGTATATCTGACTTTCCAATAAATAAATAAATCTTTAAAAACAAACAAAAAAACTCTTCCATCTGCTGATTCACTCCTCACACGTGGTCCTCAATGGTTAGGGCTATTTGGACCCTCTGCCACTGCTTTCCCAGGCCATTATCAGGGTGCTGGTTCAAAAGTGGAGCAGAGGGGGGAGCCCATAGGGGGTGCCAGGTAGGTGGCGGCTTTATCACTATGCCCTTGTAAATGTATTTGGCTTGGCAAGAAAAATAAGTCTTCATTTGCCACAATTTTTTTGCACCATCTTTGCAGATGCCTACGCAAGGTTCACACATCCCATTTACTCACACCACCACCAGGCGGTAGTGAGCAAACCACTGAGGCGTGGAGGGGCTGCCAGCCTCCACCCAAGCCAGCAGAAAAGCTCTGCTTTCCCCCTCAAGCCGGTCTCCTCTTCCCCGACAGGCGCACACAGCGACTCAGACCCCTAGGCGGAGCAATCTGCGCGCGCCTCGCCAGTCCTCGCCGCGGGACCTACGAACAGCGGTGGAGATCAGGTCTTTCCCGGACTGCGCCGTGATGCTGCGCTCCCTACCCCGCGTCTTGTCTCGGGCCTGGCACGCCCCACTCCCCCGGGGGTCCCTTCCGACTAGGGGTTGCGCCTCCGATGGCACAGCCGCGGGGCCCGAGATCCAAGTGCGCGCCCTGGACGGCCCAGACAAAGGTAAAGGGTCCAGGACAAGGCTACACCAGACCCTGGTCCGGGGGGAGCGCGGCGTGAGCAGGGCGCCGGTGGCGGCCAGGGGAGGGGCAGGCGGGCTTGCTTGGTGCCCCAGGATCGCCTGGCACCCAGTCGAAGCCCCCTAAAGTTGCCCTGGAGGGAGCAGTGGCTCCCCGACTTGGCTGCGCTGACTTCTGAGGGAAGTGAGAGAAGTGGTGCCACGGTAGCGCCAGGGGTTCCCTCGCCGCGGGGCGGACAGTGCCGGGGCTAGGTCCCCCCACCCAGCCCAGGGTGCTGGCAGGATTCCGAGGGGCGGAGGCGGCGGAGCCAATCGCTGCGCGGGGCAGAGAACGCACTGGCAGGGAGCGGAGGCCGCTGGGAGGAGGGCACGCCCGGCCCAGCTCCTGCGGCCTCTCCCACACCTGCTCCAGTCGACCCCAGGGCGAAGTTCTGAGTCGGCGTCATCTTTGCCCGTGTTGCTGTTGTAATATTGGACCGTGTGCGTCCACAATGGTGCTGAGCGCCTGCCCCGTAGTACCAGATCACCAGGGCAAGTCCGTTCTCTGATCTTTGCTCTCTCCCCAGCCAACTTTCCCCGAGTTTGGTGTAACTTTATTGGCAGCTAAATTTTAGTTGTTTGCTAAGTGGCACCCACTGCTTTTTGTACATGGCTGCCAGGGCCCCATATACAGTACCAGGTGGGATTGTTGGGCCGTATTGAATGTGCTTGGTTCACTGGCAAACTGGCAAGCAGATACTTAGCTGACTCCTCGGTCACCAGGAAGCTGTTGCATAGGTAGGTTGTCGATTGGTCAGGTGATGAAGATGGCCCAAGGTTGGTGTTAGAGTACCTGGGTTCAAGGCCCAGCTCCAGTTCCAGCTTCCTGCCTACGCACACTTCCACAGGGAGTGGTGGTGGCTCAGGTGGTTGGGGGTCCCTGCCACGGGTGTGTGTGGGGAGGCATTCCTGGATGGAGTTCCCAGCTCCTGGCCCAGCCTATGCCTTTGTCAGCGTTTAGATAGTGAACCAGCACGTGAAAGCACGATCTGTTGTGCAAATAAATAATTGATGATTTTTAAAATACTAATTTATTTTCATTGGCAAGTCAGATATACAGAGAGGAGGAGAGACAGAGAGAAATATCTTCCATCTGCTAATTCACTCCCCAAGTGGCCTTAATGGCCGGAGCTGAACTGATCTGAAGCCAGGAGCCCCGAACCTCCTCCAGTCTTCCACACAGGTGCAGGATCCCAAGGCTTTGGGCTATCCTCGACTGCTTTCCCAGGCCACAAGCAGGAAGCTAGATGAGAAGCAGGACTGCCGGGATTCAAACTGATCCATATGGTATCCCAGTGCCCATGTACAGGGCGAGGCCTTTAGCTACTAGGCTATTACACCTGGCCCTGCTGAAATAAACAATGATATTTAAAAATGTTTGAAGATATCGAGGTACAGAGGATTAGTATGAATAAAGTCTAGTTTCAAAGTCTGTTAAGTTATCATTGACTATGGTAGTTATTGGGACCTGGAAAGCCTTTTCTCTAGCAATCAATGACAAAGATCAGCGGGTGAAGTTCCTGCCCCTGTCACAGCCATCCAGGCAGGATGAAGTCAGGGAAAGGGGAGAAGGTGACAGTGGAAGAGCCCACCCCTAAGGGGTCCCGGGCTCTGCTGCCTGGAGCTTGGTAGCTTGGTCGTACCTTCCTGTTGGCCTGGAGACAGATGGACTGGGTGGCCAGTGCCTGATTCTCTCCCTGCTCTCAGTCCTTATGACCTGGACATGCAAAGCTCCCACTGTGACTGACTTTCCCCCTTTCTGTCTTCTTCTCTGGAGCTCCTGTTGGGCTTCCCCACCTCTGCCTGCCTCCAGCGAGCCTGCTGGGTGGGTGTTCTCCTTTCCCTCTGCTTGCCACAGCTGTGTGAGTGTGCACATGCCAGTGTGTCCCTTTCTCTGCTCCGTTTGGACTTGGCTCCCTACCCAGGCTTGTTAGTTCCTTGACAGTGAGGGTTGTGGGATCCGGCTGTCACTTAGGCACATTCTGTTCTTGTCCTGACCTCAGTAGGGATTGGCCACACTACCTTCCAGGTGTTTCCACTGACCACATGGCCTGTGATTCAGGCTGTCCAGACCACGTTGCCCCAGGACAGCTGCTCAGGCAGCTAGCTGCAGGTGTGTGATGTGGAAGGCTTGCTGAGAGCACAGAGGGTCGGGCAGAGCCTTCCCTACCACTGGTGCCACCAAGGGCAATGTTCCCAGTGCAGGGGCTGTCTGGGAATGCCAACTGATAAGTATGTAAAAGCCAACCACACCTTCCTAGATTGCAGCTTAGGTCCAGCAGTTACCCTGTACCAAAATCACATTCATTGCCTTGTACATTCTCTGATTCAGAAGTTTAGGTTCAAGTTAGCCCAAGTTTTCCGCTGCAGGCTGCGTGTTCCAGCCATTCTATCCATCCCAGTCCTGACTAGGGCAAGAGCGGACTCCGAACTTCTCAGTGCTGGCGCCAGAGGACTGAAGGCCTGTTTTCTTGCTTCTGTTGGCTGGGGGCCACTGGCTGCTGCTAGAGCCCATGGTTCCTTCTAGGCTCCAGGACCGTTTTCCCAGTCCACCAACTTCTCTAACAAATAGGAACCTTATGTAGCCCACAGCCTGACCGCAGATGGAACAATTTGTTGCCTTTGCCATATAGTCTAGCCTGATCTGCATCGTGCTGGTTGGAAGTGGTCTACAGGTCCCTCCTCAACATCTCAGGGGTTCATTCTGTCCTTTATAGATTCCTTACCTGATTGTCCATTTTGGAGTCCCTGTCACACATAGTATAGTTGTTTAATGCCTGCTTTTTCCACTTTCCTGTGGGTTCTATGAGGACAGGGAATAAGGCTGCCCTGATTTCTGGAGTCAGTACAAAACCAGCACATATTAAATACATAACTTCACAAAGGAATACATAGTGAGAACCTTGGTTAGCCATTCAGAAATTTTGATGCTTAAAGGCTGGGTAGTGGGGGCGCCCGGCACAATGGCTCAATTAGCTAGTCCTCCCCTTGTAAGCTCTGGGATTCCATATGGGTGCTAATTTGTGTCCCAGCTGCTCCACTTCCCATCCAGCTCCCTGCTTGTGGTCTGGGAAAGCAGTAGAGGATGGCCCAAAGCCTTGGGATCCTGCATTTGTGTGGGAGACCTAGAAGAAGCTCCTGGCTTCGGATCTCTTCAGCTCTGACCATTGCAGACATTTGGGAACTGAACCAGCAGATGAGGGATCTTTGTCCTCCTCTCTGTAAATTTGCTTTTCCAATAAAAATAAATACAGCTTAAAAAATAGCTGGATAGGGGGTGCTGCCACTCTGGTGTGGTGGTATAATCAGCCTTATCCTCTGCCTGCATTGCCAGTATCCCATATGAGCAATGGTTTGAACCCTGGCTGCTCTACTTCTGATCCAGCTTTTGGCTATTGGCCTGGGAAAGCAGTGGAAGATGGTCCAAGTCCTTGGGAGCGTGCAGCCATGTGGGAGACCTGGAAGAAGCTGCTCATTCTCGGCTTCAGACAGACGCAGCTGTTGGCCATTGCAACCTTTCTGGAGAATGAAGCAATAGATGGAAGATGTCTCTCTCTCCTCTGTCTCCTCTTTCCCGCTCTCTCTTTGTAACTCTTTAAAGTTAAGATAAAAATTTTATTTATTTTAAAGTTAAAATAAAATTAAATCCTTAAAAAAATAAATAAATAAAGTCTCCATAGGGGATAGCACTGTGGCACAGTGCATTACACTGGCACTTGTAATACCAATATTCCGTATCAGAGTGCCAGTTTGAGTCTCTGGAGCTGCATTTCTGATGCAACATTCCTGCTAACCTGCCTGGGAAAGTAGTAGAAGATGGCCCAAGCACCACCATGGGGAGGCCAGTCTAGAGCTGTGGGCTCCTGAGTTCACCCTAACCAAACACCGGCTCTTGATTTCTCTCTCTCTCTGCCTTTCAAATAGATTTTTTAAAAATCTATTTTTTTCAATGCAGGGTAGAAGGAACAGGTGTTGTGGTGCAGTGGGTGAAGCTGCCACTTGGGAGTTAGGCATCCTACATTGCAGTGCTAGTTTGAGTCCTGGCCTTTGCACCTCTTAATCCTACAGAGCAGTGGCAGGGTAATTGTCTCAGCCATGCCAACTGGAAGAAGATGTTTGGTTGTGAGTAGGACAGAGCTGCCGAGGGGATTGGGGGCTGCCATGGAGGACATTCCTGCTCTCCTACCCACTAAGCCCTGAGGGTCATGAACCCTGCCACTTCTTGTGAGGCCAAGAGGGTGAGGGTTCTTTGCTCTATTTTGCAGTTAGGAACGTGGAGGCTGGAATGGGTGACTTAGCCCAAGTTAGTTACCCTGAGAGTCCGGGGCTGAGGCTGCCCAGAACTCAGGCAAGGCCTCCTGCCCGCAGCACCCTCACCCAAGGCTGTTTCTGTATCCTGCAGGAATCACGGAGATCCTGATGAACAGGCCCCGCGCCCGCAACTCCCTAGGGAAGGTCCTGGTCAGTGAGGCAAGTCGGGAGAGCACCTCCAGCATCACCCTTGCCCTGCAGTGGGCTAGGGGCTGGCTGGCTTTGCCCAGGGTTGGGCTGGGGGCTGGCTGGCAGGCTGCTAACCTAGCATTCCCACAGCTGCTGGAAGCGCTGGCCCGGCTGCGGGAGGACCAGCAGGTACGCGTGCTGCTTTTCAGAAGTGGAGTGAAAGGCGTCTTCTGTGCAGGTGTGTTCCTTCCTCACCCTCTCCCAGCAGCCTGCAGGGCTAAGGGATGGCCCACGGTCAGCCAGTGTAGGGTGTAGTGTCCTGGGTGGCGGCGATAGCCCAGGCTCAGGGAAGGGATTTCAGTCTTTGACTGGAGTCACCTAGCTTCAAAAGGGCATTTGGCAGGTCTGACCCCAAATGCCAGCTTTTACGGCTGCACTGTACTTTGCCCCTTCTGTGAAGAAATGGGGAAACTGAGTACACAGATGCTCACCAGGCCAGCAGCCAAGATGGAATCCTTTGCCCCCCCTTCACCACCTGTAGGATCTCGGTCTCGACTGCCACAACTTTCGCTGCCCATGCATCACTTGCTCCTCACAACAGGATATGCACCAGGAATTTCTGTCACCCAGACAGAGACCCACAAAAAAAGCAAGTCTATGGATGCAGAGCAGAGAGAACCTCAAGGTTGCAAACTGCAGCCAGTCCCAGAACTGTTAGATTCGCCGCTCGCCAAAATGTTAGATTCGCTGACCACCAGGGAAAGAATAACTCAGCCAAATATATGAAAAGAATTTAGATGGCCTTTATTTCAGGGAACCACGGTCATGGGCTTCCCTTCCCCATGCAGCAGAAAGACAGACATGAAGGAGTGGGCTGCAGAGGAAGAAGAGCGAGGAAGAGACGGGGAAGGGGCTTTTTAAACTCTCCTTGACACGGAAGCCAAGACAGGGGTCACCTCGGCCCTTATTGGTGGGGGGATATGGGTTTGTGCCCCTCGTTGGTGCAATGGTGGTTTCACAGCCTGAGGGGCCCACCAGAATTCCGCCATCCATTCTGGGTTTGGTTGGAAGCAAACTCCGCCCTTCTCCAGTTACCATGGTAGCCATCAAGAACCCCTTTCCTTTTGATGGCTGAGGGGTGTCCCACTGGACTCATCCCCCATTTGTCTACCTGTCCACCTGCTGATGGACATTTGGCTGTTTCCATCTTTTGGCTCGCCTATGAATCTTGCTATTTGACATGTCCCCTAATGACTGCATGAGCATGTTGGCCATCTGCAACTTTCGTAGGAAGAAATGTCTGCTCAACTTCTTGGCCCTCTTGGAGTCAGGCAGCTGTGTTGTTGAGCTCTTTGTATGTCCAGGCAACATTCCTTCATTGAATAAGTGACCTGCACATACTCTGGCCTGTCCCTTCAGCTGTTACCTTGCCGGCCATGTCCTTTGGTGCACAGAGCTTGCCATGTCAAAGATGTCCTGGTTCCCTCTTCCTCCCGTTGCTATGCTATTGCTCTCCCACACTGTCCTTGTTTCCCTGGCTTCCTTGACTGTTTCCTGTGCTTCTCCTTCTCTTTCTGCTTCTCAAGCCTCCTCTGCCGATCCCCTGTCTGCCTGGGATTCTAGAACAGAACACCTAGCCAAGGGCTGGCTGCCGACCCCTCGTCCCCTGCAGGTGCAGACCTGAAGGAGCGGGAGCAGATGAGCGAGGCAGAGGTGGGGATCTTTGTGCAGCGGCTGCGAGGAATGATGGATGAGATCGGTAAGTGGGGGAGGGGGTTGTGGAAGCTGCAGGGGGTCTCCGTCCCTCTTTTTCTCTCCCCTTCCCATCCCTCCTGTCCTCTCTTGCCTTTTCTCATTCACCTGAACACTCTATATTTTATTTTACTTTTTAAAGATTTATTCATTTTTATTGGAAAGGCAGATTTACAGGAGGAGAGACAGAAAGATCTTCCATCCACTGGTTCATTCCCCAAATGACCACAATGGCCAGAGCTGAGCCATCTGAAACCAGGAGCCAGGAGCTTCTTCTGGGTCTCCCACACGGGTGCAGGGTCTCAAGGCTTTGGGCCGTCCTCAACTGCTTTCCCAGGCCACAAGCAGGGAGTTGGATAGGAAGTAGAGCAGCCAGTACACAAACTGGCACGCTCATGGGATCCCAGCACTTGAAGGGAGAGGATTAGCGCCTGAACACTCTACTTTAGCCAGTGTTGCTTTGAGCACTGAAGGAAGGCAGCTGACTCTCCCAGAGGTTGGGCACAGGGAATCCTTCTTTGAGGGAAGAGGGAGAGATAAGAGGGTCAGAGTGCATCTCTTTGTGTCCAGTCCCCAAGCCCCCCATATTGCCAGCCCTTAGGGTTCAGGCCTGGTCCTTTCCAAGGGGCCAACTTCGCCATGTTTGCTTCCCTGTTCCCTTGACCCAGAGATGACCTTGGCTGCCTGAGGCCACCCTTCTCCAGAAAGCCTTCCAGACATGCTCCCAGCTTTTCTTGCCTGGAGTGTTGATGCTCATGGGTCATCATTACCTCACTAACTGGGCCCCTTGAGGGCAGGGCTTGATGCCCACAAAGCCAGAGCCAGGGAGGCCAACAGGAGAGTGGGCCTGAACTGGCAGCCCCCAGCCTACCTGTTTCTCCTGCCCTGACCCCTGCCCCCTCCCCAGGCCCATAGATAAGTTTATTCAACCTGGCCAAGGAACCAGGTGAGGCTCCTGGATGTCAGGGTCTCCAAGGCCACTCACGCGGAGCCCTTCTTTGTCTCCACAGCAGCCTTCCCAGCACCCACCATTGCGGCTATGGATGGCTTTGCCTTGGGCGGTGGCCTGGAGCTGGCACTAGCCTGTGACCTGCGAGTGGCAGGTACTGGGCCAGGGCTGAGGAGAGGGAGTGTGGAATCTCAGGGTCTTGCAAAGCCCACCAAAGGCCTGGTCCTCCAGAGGCAGGATAGTGGGTACAGTGGTGTCAGCAGGGGCTGCTTTGCCCTCGTAGCTCAGGCTTGCTGTTGTAGCCATCACCTGTGACAACCTACTTTGCTTGTCCCCTGGAGTGACTGTCCTGACCCAAGATAAAATGTTAACAGGACAGCCAATTGCACAGGGGGGGCACAGCCAAGGAGGACAAAGATCCATGCGTAGTCTGCCAGACGCATCCCATTCAGATCTGATCACCAGCTTATGATCAAAGGTGAGCCAAGGAGGTGCTGAGTCACTTCGGATGGCTAGTGGCCAGAGGCCCTGGCCATAAACATTGTCCTCCAGCTCACTAGCACTGACTGAGGTCTGTATTGCTTGTTCTGAACACCAGCGCATATTTTGCAAGGTGAAGGGAGGGGTGGGGCGACTGGCCAGTCCTTTTTCCATGTGACTGACTGGGGGAGAGGTCACTGTGACGCAAAAGGCTCCAGGCTCAAAGGTCACCTCATCTGCACAGTGCAGGTCAGAGAGGGGACTGACCAGGTAGCCAGGCACCAAGGGACCAGGTCAGGCCACAGCTCCAGCCTGCCCCGGGTTCAGGCGATTATCTCATCGGGTTTGCGCAAGTATGAAGTGAGTGTAGGACCCTCACGAAGGTTCCCTTCAGCCCATTCCATAGGGTGCTCCTGACTGGCCTGTGCTGGAGAAGCTCTGGGGGCTCCAAGAACTTCCCAGAGAAGGTGGGCTCAGGAGGCTGTGAGTTGGAACTGGATAATGGTGCAGGTGCAGGAGTTGCTAATGCTGTCAGCCAGGCTGCAGCCAAGGATGCAAGAGACCCAGGGCGCAAGGAATGGTGACCTTGTTCCCAACACCCGTAGCTCACCTGCGTGACAGGCAGGAGAGGGACAGTCATCTTCCTCCCACCTTCCGGGCTCTGGGAGGCACTAGCGCCCTCTGTTGTGTTTCCGCAGCATCCACGGCTGTCATGGGGCTGATCGAGACCACCCGAGGGCTCCTCCCAGGAGCAGGTAACGCACCTGCAAGCACCCACCCACCACTCTACCCCATCCAGCTCCTCCCCCCATGCCCGCTTCTCACTCCACTTCTCCCCGCTTCTCCCTCACCTGGCAGGAGGCACTCAGAGGCTGCCCCGCTGCCTGGGTGTAGCCTTGGCCAAGGAGCTCATCTTCACCGGCCGACGGCTGTCTGGGGTCCAGGCCCACCAGCTGGGGCTGGTGAACCACGCTGTGGACCAGAACGAGGAGGGTGACGCGGCCTACCACCGAGCCTGCGCACTGGCCCGGGAGATCCTGCCCCAGGTATGCTCCCTGCCCTGCCATCTCTGACCTAACAGACCGAGAAGGGCTAAGTGAGCTGCTCATCAGGATCACAAGGAGTGACCGCCCTGTGGGGGGACAACACTGGTATTTTACACAAGGCAGAATAGGAAAAAGTGGAACTTTAAGAGTGCTGAGTATGTACAGAATCTTTACATCAAAAATAGTTCGTGAATACTTAGTTGTGAAAACAAGACAAGTATCATTTAGGAAAAAAAAAAATCTTTCCCTGACCCGTAAGTCCCACCCCTCAATAGCTCTGGTCTTTTTAACTAGGGGTCCTGGGGTTTGGCTTGAAAATAAGCCTTTGCTTTGTCTTCCTGATTTTTTAGTTCCGTCAGATAGTAACAGAGTCTAATGCCAGCCTGGACAACTGTAGCAGGTCTGGTTTCTAGGACAGTCGGTCAGAAAGTCACTGCACACATACACGCAGCTGAGCGACCCAGGGCGGAGGACCACGGCTCCCACACAACCTTCCACGCCTGCCCTGCACGCTGTAGGGCTTTGTCCTTCTATACAAAGGAAGGGTCCTCAAGACAACACAGATTCCCCACTGGGCAGGGGCCTGAGAAGGCCTATTAACTTTTTGAAGTCCCCTGTCAGCACAAATAACAATATGAACACGGCTTTAGCTCTGTATATCACAACATTGGGCACCGAAAACTAGTACCCTAGTTGCCTACCCTGTCCACAGGGGCCTCCTTCCTGGCAACCCTGGTGGTGGATGCTCTGGAATGCATGGGAGTTGACTGCCATCTAGTGGCCAGGGAAACAGGCTCCGTATCTGACCACCGGAGTTCTGCCCTTCTGTGGTCAATCTCCAGGAGATTGTATTTGGCTAGTGTATTTGGCTGTTAATTTGAACACCCAAACAATGGAATAATCTGTGGGCATGTTAGATCCTGCTGCTTTCATTTCCAAATAACATGAGATTATCAATTAACATTTCTAGTCAGTCTCTTGAAAAGTGAGTTTCTTGACTGAATAGATATCCTAAATCACAATACATTGCCAGGACAAGCAAGTTACACATAACAGAGGAATGAGAAGGGCGCACGGCAAGGATCCAAAGTTGGGTGACCAGCTGGTATTCGTGTACCTGTGACTGTCTCAGCTTTGCAAGTCCTGGGTTTCAATAATTGTGGAGTTACTACAATAAGTGGCCCTCCACTCTCAGTCCCTAGAAAGGACCACTGTCACCTGTTGACACTTCCTTCTGGGGGTTTCAGAGCATTCACATATGCTCACACACTTACATCTGCGTTCTTTTAAATGGTGGTTTAGAGGACAAGCACCACACCTTCACAGGCTAATGGAGTCCCAGCAGAAATGTTAAGCACAAAGTTAAAATATGAACAGTAGGGAATTAGAGGGTATGGAAAAATGTAGGGCAAAAATGTCTCCATTTCCCCAGCCCTGTATAACTGATGTTACAGTATACACAGCAATGTGCACCTTGCCGCTCCCATATGTGAGATTCTTCCATTTGAGCACGTACCTGACTCTGTTCTTTGGTTCTACATACCTTCTCACACATGGTGCAGATAAGCCATCACTATTTAGTGAGAACCAGCACATCTCAAACCTTCATGTTTATGACTTGTGTTACCACGAAACAGTAATAAACCTGGGCATGCTTCTGGAAGTGTATCTGCAGGGCTAATGCCTTGGTGGAGTTGCAGCTTCAGCAGGGGGTGCAGCTAACTCTGCTGGCTTTTCCCAAGCAGCTTTTTGAGGCACCATCCCAGTGTCCTCTGTTAAGGATGGGGGCAGCCAACATTTCCACATTTGTGGCACGTTACCTCACTGTCTTGTGCTCCGTTGCTCCAGAGCTGGGGACGAGCAGTCTTCATGCTTGAATTTTCCTGAGAACTACCTTTACAGACACTTTGTGATGATTTCTCTGAAAATTTCATTAAACTTTTCATACAGCAAGGAAATATCGTTAAGAACTAACAAAATTTTTTTCTCAGTTTCTTTCATCTTGTGATTTTTCTCTAAGTCTGAAATGAACTCATTTTTTATGTAGTTAGGCTTTATTTATGTATGGCTTCTATGCTCAAACTCCCAAAATTGCCTTCTTTTTTCAAATTTATTTTTATTAGAAAGAGACTGACAGGAGTCAGAAAGCTCTTCTATCTGCTGGTTCTTCTCCATGTGGCCAGAGCTGAGATCTGAAGCCAGGAGCTTCTTTCTGGGTCTCTCATGTGGGGCGTCTGCTGCTTTGTAAGATCATGAACATGGAGCTGGATGGAAAGTGGAGCAGCCTTGACACAAATCAATGCCCATATGAGGTACTGGATTAGTTGTATTAACCAGTTGGGCCATTGTACTGGTACCAAAGTTGCCTGTTTGTTTTTGTTTTGGCTGGGTGACAGCTGCACAATATAATGCACACACAATAACAGCGTGAATGACAGGGAATGCACACCTAGCTTGCACAGATATGTCTAGGGGACAGATCCTGCAGCTGCTGTGGCACGGGCCACTGGAAAGTGAGACCGGGGGCAAGCTGCTCTGTTGCCTCAAGCAGCTGGTCGAAGGCACTCCCACCCGGCCAACCCAAAGCCCAAAGTCCTAATCTGCCCTTTACTCTGCAGGGGGTGGAGGCTGCTACCTGCTGGGATGAGGGGTTCAGGACTGGGGAGCATAGGAAACTTTCAGATGACTGGGAGTCATTCCAAGTGCTTCACCTCCTTGGGTCTCAACGTCCCATCTGTGAAGCCGGAAGTGAGCAGCGCCACTAGATGAGTTGGTCTGTGGGTGGGAAAGCCCTTCTGTATATATGTAGTCTGCTGTATGTAGTAGAATGGGTTGATTGACAAGAACCACAGATTCATGACTGGGAAAGCTAAGAACCAGTCTAGCTTCCTTCATTTTAAGGAACCTCAGCCATGCAGCAGGAGGACCACCTCTACCAAACCACAAAACTGGTTACTACAACAGCTGGCCCAGACCTCTGCCACCTGCTCCACAGCACTCCTGCTAATGGAGTACTCTTTCTCCAGTTCAGACTTCTGTCAGCACTAACCCCTGCTCAATCCAGCTTTGTCTTGTCTTCCTAGGCCCCCATCGCTGTGCGGCTGGGCAAAATTGCCATTAACCGAGGAATGGAGGTGAGGGGACTGGGACTTGGGGCCACTAAAGTGTCATGACCAGTACATAGGGTTGTTAAGGCTTTTACAGATAGCGCAGGTGGCAGGAACTCAGGAACCGAACTCTGACATCTCCCTGATGTACACCTCAGTTGACCCATCTGCAATATGGGAAGTTTGGCCAAAGTCCTGATTACATGTCACCGCATCTTCCTCCGCAACCCTCCACTGCCTTGAGAAAAAGCAGGGAGCTGAGGTTCAGAAAGGGTGAACGACTTGCTCCAGGTCACACAGGAAGTGTGCAATGAAAATGCGTGTCTGTGGCCCCAGTCTATGTTCTAGGGTGTGTACTGGCAGTCAGGGATGCAAGCTCATGAGTAGGGGGGCAGACTGATGCTGCGGACGCAGCTCTGTGTCATTTCTTACTCACCCGTCATACACTGAACCCAGCCTGCCTTGGGTAGTTGGGGCACAATTGAGTTAAACACAGTCATTGCTTCCAAACCTGCTAATACCCCAGAGGTTAGAGCTGACCTATCCACAGGTAAGACAGCAGAACAGGAACTTGGGGGCCGGGCTCTGGCGGCAGACTGGGCTGGGCCACAGACTCTGCTCAAGCACATGCTGCCATGTTTACAAATGACCTGAGCTTTTGCTGCCACAGATTACTCAGCCATTCAGTGGGGTAATAACCCGTGTACATGGTTCTTTTGCACACATTGCTTGTAAATTCTGCTAACAGCAGGCACTGGGCAGCAGAGAATTGGAGAGTTTTCCAGGGGCCAAATCACAAACACCTGGGATGTTCTGAAGTTAACTGATGCCAACAAAGGCAACCAGGGCAGCCAAGGAGCTTGGCGGGGCTGCCAGCTGGAGACTGAAGGGGTGGCCTGGACTCCCTTTCTCGTGCAGCTTTTGCTCATAAATTTCTCCAGGCAGGCAGCCACTCTCTGTGGCAGACTGGTGCTGGGGGCAGGTGGAATGGCTCCCAGTGTGGGCAGATGCAGACAAGCTCAAGCTGATTCAGGGAGTGCCTTGTACTTACAGGTGGACATCGCATCTGGGATGGCCATTGAAGGCATCTGCTATGCCCAGGTAAGGCACTGGGTAAGCTGCAGGGACTGCATGCCTATGAAGGTTTGGGCCAGAGCCAGGAGCTGTCTGTGGTTCCAGAACGCCACCTGCCTCCTCATAAGCTGGAGTGCTTACTGGGTACCACGTGGTTTCTCTGACAGTTCCCTCAACCAGCTAACACCCAGCAAGCCACGGGAAACACACAGGCCCTTGGCAGATGTTTCTGTGGCCTCTGTGATGGGCCGCCACATCAGTGGCCAGGCTGAACATAGGCTGTTAAGATCTTGCTTCTGAACCACAGGATGAGTTCCGTGGAAGGCCTGTACATGAGGCAGCCATGTTGATCCAATGTTCACCTCCAGGTTCTCAACTCTCTGAACCAATCCTATGCAAAGATTCTTGGGACACGCGTGGCCCTGGGGGAACCAGCTGTGTATCCAGGGTCAAGGCCTTCCATTCCTTCCTCTACAGAACAGACTCCCTCTGAGATGGCTGCTGCCAGTGACCATGACCTCATTGGGGACCTGGCAGCAGACCAAGCAGTGGCTGGTGGGATGGGATGGGAGCTGGCCCGGAGGTTGCTGAGGGCTCATCCCTCAGCCTAGCCGAGGACTCCAAGGGCATGGCCTTGTCACACACTGGGGAGGCTTAGGCAGCAGTTTTGGCCGCTGGTGCTTCATATATTGTTGCAGAATATCCCGACGAAGGACCGGCTGGAGGGCATGGCAGCCTTTCGAGAGAAGCGGCCTCCCAGGTTTGTTGGCAAGTGACCCCACCAAAGCTTCAGCACGACGCTGTGTGCCTTCTGGAGCAGGACCACCACTTCAACTCAAGGACAGCAATGGGCCCACATCAAGGTGCTGACCACACCGCCGAGCTGTGCCTTCCTCACTGCTCGCCCAGCTCCCTCCTGTGGTTTTGAGTGTTGGCTCCCAGGTGCCAACCTCAGCTGTCAGGGTCTCACCAGCCCCGTTTCTTTCTCTGGATGACACTGATAGTAAAATAAAGCACAGTGTTCTGCATGTGAGGAATCACACTTCAGAGCCACCCAGCTGCCCTGTAACCGTGGACTAACTGTTCAACCTCTGGGGCCTCAGCATCATCATCATCTGTAGTATGAGACTTTTGTGAAGATAAACCCCTCGTGTCCAGTAACTGTGTTGTAAAGGATAACTCGTGTTCATGTGAAGAACACTGCCGCGTGCAGAGTGGCACGGTACTCTGTGGGCCTTCCGGAACACTGGGAGGGAGCCAGGGCAGGGAGGTGGGCTGGTTCCGCTGGAATGAAGGAGGCTGACAGGGCAGCCTGAGGAAGGGCAGAGGATGGCCTGCCTAGACAACGGGCCGGTACTCCCTGTATACACTAGTCTTGGTAGCACCAGCTCCTTAGTACCAGGCCGTTTGCTAAGCTATGGACTTGTGGTCCTTCTCTAAGTGCACCTGTGCTCCCCTTGGGCTCGTACACGTACCAGAGATGACTGATTCACTGCTGTATATCCCTGCATCCCGGGTGGAAGGCACACAGAGCCCAGGCCGCGGCACATCAGCTGCAGCTGCTCAGGAAAGTCACAACTTTCTTTACTCAACTTTTTTTCACCTGCTCTGTGTGGAGGATAAAACTTTAGTTTCCTCAGAGGACTATTGTAAATGAGACAAAATTTGAGAGGGTATCTGCTAGGAAACTGGACCAACAGATATGGGTTCCTACAGTACATCCTCTTGTTAGTAAAAGCTAGCATCTAGGAATGCCAAGAACACAGGGGACCAGAATCCTCTCTGGAATGAGGTCCGGAGAATAAATCCCACCTGTCCACTAGGACTCAGGGCATGACTTGGCACATGGCTTAGAAGGAGGAAAAATGAGCTGCTTCCCCATGATTCCAAAACAGGGGACCCTGGGCTCTCTACTAGAGCCTGGACCAGGCCAACTAACGGCAAAGAGCTAGTCTGTAAAACATGCTACCAGTCAAGCAGGATGATATTTTCTTGATTCTCTGAAACTGCAGCCAAACTCACAAGAACCTGGTGGGGAGGCTGCGGGGCTCACGACCCTTGAAGTCCGTAGCGCTATCCTTCCCTGAACTCCCAGCACTTCCCTCCTTCTCCCAGTTTTAGTCATGGTCTCTCCCAAATTAAACTGTGAGGGATTCTATAATTTCCAAAGCATCTTTCATCTAAAAATCTAAATACTGAGCTGGCGCCATGATGTGGTAGACCAAGCCTTTGGCTGTAGCACCGACATTCCATATGGGGTACTAGATTTGAGTCCTGGCTGCTTCATTTCTGATCCAGCTCCCTGACTGTGGCCTGGGAAAGCAGCAAGGCCTGACCCAATGACTTGGGCCCCTGAGGCCACATGGGAATCACTGTGAAGAAAAACCTGTGCCTGGCCTGACTGGCTGCTGCGGCCATTTGGGAAGTGAATCAGCAGATGGCACATCTTGATCTCTCCTTCTCTCTCTGTTACTCTGCCTTAAACACAAATAAATACATCTTACAAAAAATAACATGAATACTGTGTTCTCAGGCCTAAAGCTCACTATGCACTCCCAGCGCACCAGTGTACACAGAATGCCATGCTGCCTGGTATGACTGATGAAGCTGCAAGAGAAAAAGCATCAAACTGTAAAAACTATATTTGACCGTCATCAGCCAGTCAAGCAGAGGGTAATCTGCAAAAAGTAGAAGGTGCTATTAAAAAACTAATACATGAAAACTGCTTTTCTCCTTTCTGGCAGAGGTTCTGTTGGCCCAACAGCCCTCTTGCAATACCTATTTCCCAGGCTCTTTTCCAGCAACTTCCCACAAGGACTAAGAAGGCAGGGTCCACCAACGTCTTCTTCCCTCCTGAGGATAAGAGGTCCCATGCACTCCCAGGACAAGCTCTCGGAATGAAGAAGCCATCTGAAGCTGGAAACAGAAACTGGCTGTGCTTTGCAGACACAAGCTTCCAACCCCTTCCAAAGTATCCATGGTTTATCCCCAGTTACTACAAACAGGGTATCCCTGAACAACTTACAACCAGATTTGGGATTATGTTGTAAAATGAATACAATCTTTGCAACTTACAGAAAACTAACCAAAAAAAGGGGGGTAATAACATAGCTACTCCACCAAAAGCTGGTTCAACATGGATGGCCCGATAGGGTGGGAGGCGGGAAGCTGGGGCAGGAGGGCACAGCAGCAGCCACCTAGGTCTCAACTTGCGTCTGGCACCCAGTGGATCTCTGGTAGTTCATGAAGTAGATCCGGAAGTCACCCAGTATGGAGGCTGCAAACTGCTGTGCCTGGGGGTGCACGCCCTGGTGCTCCTGAATGTGGCGCAGCAGCCATAGTCCTCCTTCTTCCACAAGCATTTTGCAGTATCTGTTGGCTGAAAGAAAGTCAAGCAACATAGTTCCATGGATGATGGGCACTTGACAAGTCACTCTATTAACCTTTCTGAAGTACAGATTTGGGGCCAGCACCGTGCCACAGCAGGCAAATCTGCCACCTACAATGCTGGTATCCCATGTGGGCAGAAGTTGGAGCTCAGTCTGTTCCATTTCCAATCCAGCTTCCTGCATGTGGGCCTGGGAAAGCAGTAGAGAATGGCTCCAAGTGCTGGGTCCCAGCCAGCTGTGAGAGATCAGGATGGGCTGCTCTCGGCCTTGGTCTGACTAGGACCTGGCCATTGTGGGCAGTTAGGGGTTTAACCAGAGGGTGGAGGATCTCTCTCTGTATAACTCTGAGTTACATTTGAACTACCTACATCTTTTTTAAAAATGCAAGCTGCTTTATCACAATGAATAAGTACAAAATTATGACATGTTGGATAAGAAATTAAGTTCAAAAAAGTTGGGACCAGATTTTACACTGGGTTAACCCACCTCTCATGATGCCAGCATCCCCTACATAGCAGCAGTTCAAGTCTCAACTGTTCTGTCTCTAATTCAGCTTTCTGCTAACATGTTTGGGAAGGCAGTGGTAGATGTCCTACATGGGCACACATCTCTTTCCACTATGTAAACAATATTAAAAAGAAAATAATTTTTTTAAAAGAGAAGAAGGCCAAGCACAGTAGCCTAATGACTAAAGTCCTCACCCTGCACACACCAGGATCCCATGTGGGCAATGGTTCTAATCCCTGCAGCCCCACTTCCCATCCAGCTCCCTGCTTGTGGCCTGGGAAGAGTCAAGGATGGCCCAAAGCCTTGGGACCCCGCACCCATGTGGGAGATTCAGAAGACATTCGTGCCTCATGGCTTCGGGTTGGCTCAGTTCTAGCCATTGGGGCCACTTAGGGAGTGAATCAGCAGATGGAAAAATTTCCTCTCTGTATATTCAACTTCCTTTAAAAAAATTTTTTAAAGATTTATTTTATTTTTATTGGAAATGCAGATATACAGAAAGGAAGATCTTCCATCTGATAATTCACTCCCCAAGCAGCCACAATGGCTGGAGCTGAGCCAATTCGAAGCCAGGAGCCAGGAGCTTCTTCCTGGTCTCCCACATTGGTGCAGGGTCCCAAGGCTTTGGGCCGTCCTCAGTTGCTTTCCCAGGCCACAAGCAGGAACCTGGATGGGAAGTGGGGCCGCTGGGATTAGACCCTGTGCCCATATGGGATCCCAGCGCGTTCAAGGCCACTTTAGCCACTAGGCTACACTATTGTGCCAGGCCCTATATCCAACTTTCTAATAAAAATAAATAATTCTTTAAAAAAAACCTGACTTTCCAATAAAAAATAAATAGATCTTTTAAAAAGAGAGAGAGAGAAAGAAGAAATTGACTCCCAAGAAGACTGTTAACTTCACTTACAATAAATGCCAATAGATTATCACTTTTGCCATCAATTGACATGGATTAAAACCATTCAATTCTGTACAAATGTAGGGAAAGAGGTGAACTCTTCTACATTGTAGATGGCTATTCAAACTGGTAATCTAGGATCTGAGGACAATTTAGCAATACCTATTAAATTACAAATGTTTGCAGCCTTTGACGTAGCAAAATTTTAAGGATATGGCATATGCCTACAAAATGATGTACTCTATGTAACAGTGCTGTGTACCACCCTAGAATCAAAGCTATGTAATGCATGAATATTAACACTACTGTAAAGTGAGCAAAGTCCTGTTTAAAATGTTCTATAAATATCAACACACTTAAGACCCTTAAGTAGGTACTATTCCATCCATTTCACAGATGAGGGAACTAAGGCACAGACTGGTTAAGCAATGTGCTTAGGTTTGTAGAAATAAACAGCAGAAGTGGGAATAAAGCACAGTGTGGTGGTTCTGGATGGTATTTTAAAAACATTTCTTTAAGAGAGAAAGAGAGAGAGAGAGAGATTGACTTTCATCTGCTTACACACTGCTACAATGGCCAGAGCTGGAGCCAGGAGCCAGGGATTTAACTTGCATATCTCACTAGAAGGCAACCTCACTGTTGCCTTCCAGGGTTATCACAGGCAAGAAGCCAGGACCAGAAGCACAGCTGGGACTGAAACCCATGCTCCCTGGTAGATATAGCGTCCCAACCACAGCCTTAACAGCTAGGTCCAACACTTGTCACCAACAAGTCCTTTCAATGATGACTTCATTGCACAGGTACACCTACAACATTACTGATGGAATCAGTGTTTGCCACAAAAAGAAAAAAACGGGAAGCAATGTCTGTCAAAAGGAAACTGGTTGGGGCAGATTGAATGTTGGCAATGGGTTAGTCCAGAGCTGGGGAAGCCTGAGTTCCATGCTGGTGTGCCTGGTTCAAGTGCTGGCTACCCTGCTTCTGCTAATGGGCCTTCAAGGTAGCAGATGCTGTCCCAAGTACCTGAGTTGCTGCCATCCATGTTGGAGAAACAGATGGAGTTACTTCTTGCTCCCAATTTTGGCTGACCTGTCCCAGTAACTATGCACACTGGGAAGTGAAAATTCCCCAAGGGGGTTTTAAATAGGAAAGCATGCAGAAAAATTAGTCAGATTGGGACAAAAAAAAAAAAACCCTGACCACAGACCTCCCTGCCTCTTACGTGCAATGACAAGGAGCAGACTTGTGCATCGCCACAGCAGTGTCAGTGAAAAGGGCAAGCTGTGAAATGACATGTACAGAATGAGCC